TGAATTTGAAAAACTAGTAAGAATGGTTTTAAAGGTCTCCATTATAGTTCAAAATTAATCCAAGTTTCATGCAAATATGAAATGGCTCATAAGAAAGTTTTGACTATAATTAGATGAAAATATGCTGATTAATATTTTAGACACAACTAATTCTCACTAGGTCATAAGATAACACAGATTGAGGTGATATAAACTGAATCTGTTCCTAGAAGCATTACTAAGGGAAGGGATTGAGGACATGTCTGCTCCATAAATTTATAGCAATTTTTCATATATTTAAAATGTTTGAACAATTTCAGAGTTTCAAGAAATGAGGAAAAGAAGGACTCTTGAGCAGCCAAAATCTACAAATTTCATGGACTTTACACATGAAAGAACTTCCTTATGTGGTTTTATTTGCATGTTCATATGGTTGGTCATTTTAGTTTCATACTTATAGAGGAATAACAGCATCACATTAGAAGGTGAGCTCCAGCGAGGCACCTTCCCAGGTGTCCCTCAGTCTTCACAGCAAGGAACTCAGAAATGCTATAAAAAGTTGACCTGACAGCCCCAAAGCACAGCACTCAGCAGCTGTCTAGTGGTGGTAAACAGACTTCAGTAAACGAAAGAGCCTGGCAGCATCATCACGCACAGGAGGTGTAGAACAAGCACTTGCTGAATGAAATGCAAAGTGAACTAGACCTGGTCATCGAAAAAGTTTAAATTATGGTCAGCATATATGTTCTTTTAAAGCGACTTAGTGGAAATATTTTAGAAACATTTTCATCTAAACCAGTTAAAACAATATATACTTTTGAAGTTTTGGAGTTTATGGTAGTGTTGGGGGAAGTTCCTCTAAGAATTAAGAAAATTTTATTATCTAAAATCACCATTCAAAGATTCTAGAGAGTGGAAGTTTTTCTATAGTGCAAATATCTTCATAACTTATTTTTTCTGAGTGCAGTATTTAAACTTTTAAACTTAATAATCCATGGTAAAAACATGATAGAAACAATAGCAATTTTTGTATATAAAGTGCAAAAGAAAAGTTCTTCCAATACAGATTTTAACTCCATTTACTATATACAGAAAACACCTTCTTAGGTAATCATTTTTCACTGTTACAGAATCAAAATAAAAATAGAATGAGTGAATTATAAGCTTCTAAATGTATCAATACTATTCTTAGTTTTCTTCCAAGTATATTCCCAATTAAATTAATTCAAAGTTCAATTTGTCTTTGTATATAAATATTATAGACAATTATTTGTAAATATTTTATAAAATTTATCATATTTTCACCGTGACTCTTCAAGAATATTGATGGCTATTTTTCTTAAATTTACTTGGCTTTTGTTAGTACATGCCACAGGACTGGTGTTGCATAGAACACACTTTGGGAAACACTGCTGGACATCATGGCATCCTTCTTGTTCTAGTATTTGAGGTCTAGAACACAGGGAAAATCTATGCTTTCAGTTTTATGACTCACAAATCGTTATGATTTATGTTACTTGTTGAATCTCATTCCAGGATGCCCACACAATAGACATTTAATGTGTATTTACTGAAACAAACAGTATTTGAAAAAGTATCAAATTAGCTCTCATATTGGTTTTTCCTGATCACTGATGCTACTGTTTTCCATAATATAAAACACAGGGATAGAAGGTGCAAAGTGGACTTCAAGATCAAAACAGGGAATAAGATCAGAAAAAGGTTACCAATCAAACCTAGAGTGGTTAGAAAGTGGCTGATGTATTAAAAATGAGTACAGGTGGCACTTCTTAATCTAATGAAGGTGATCTGTGGGATATATTTGGAGGAAAAATAAACATACTTGAAAAATCAGATAATGACTGGCCTGCAGTAATGGAACTCTCACAGATTAAAAAAATACACAAACTGGGTTATAAAACCTTGTTTGTTTATCTAGCACTACTCAAAGGGAGGTATGGTCTGAATTTGAAACAGAAACCTTAGAATAAAAAGGGAAATTATAGGCCTGTTTTAATGTATTCCCTTTATTCTCATGTCATATTCAAACAATTTCTGAGTTGTAATTATCTTAAGTAGGTATATTCACTATCAGGGAGAATACATAAGCAACTAGAATATAAGCAACTCTAGCTCTTCTATCAGGTATAAGAGGTCATCCACTTCAAATTAATAGGATTGCCCCGGTATGTGTGAATTAGAGTAGCATGCATAATATATTTAAAAAAACCCTATTTTTGAGCACTTTTTAATATATACATCTCCTCTCATTTCTCATAACTCTCATACGTGGTGGAGATTATTTGACATTTGATGTCTCTCCTCATTGATCAGATACTCAGTGAGTGCCTACTGTGTACCTGGCAGTGTGGCAAGAGTTCCAAGTACAAAAGTAAGCAAAAGCACACAGTCCCTAACTGGAGCTTTCAGCCCAGTGAGGGCAAACTGATGAGGGAAGCTGAGGCATACAGAATTTAAGAGCCAGTGTCTCTTTTGTAATGTCAGTCACAGCTGTAGCAACTTTTACTTCAATAATCTCAGCACTCAGTTTCCAGAGTCATCAGAATTCCAGAAGCAATGAACTTGAGATTGAAAATATTTAAAAATACTGTTCAACTGTTTAGAAGAAGCTTATTTTAGAACAGAAACAAAAAATTTGGTCATTCTATTTTCTATTAAATTTAATTTCAAGCAGTTTCTGCATATTTTATCTAATACAATGTATTATTGTCCTTGAAATGAGATGGCTATCAGAATATGCTTAGTATCCAGAAATTAATCCATTACTGGTGACTTAGATTTTTTTTTTAAAGATTTTATTTATTTATTTTTAGAGAGGGAAGGGAGGGAGATAGAGAGAGAGAGAGAAACATCAATGTGTGGTTGCTGGGGGTCATGGTCTGCAACCCAGGCATGTACCCTGACTGGGAATCGAACCTGCAACACTTTGGTTTGCAGTTCGCGCTCAATCCACTGAGCTACGCCAGCCAGGGCATTGGTGACTTAGTTTTGATATCAATTCATTTTATAATTGAGGAACCCACATGTCTCTGCCTTTTCTGATGGGAGCTTAGCTGAATTGCATGAAATACTTAATTTGGCACAGGATGGGGTGGGGGGATCTGAATACCTCCCTAACGTCTCCCAGTCCTCACAGTATTAGGAAGAATTTTTATCCCAGGTGATCTTGCCTTTTACTAGATGGTATGTATTCTTCCAAGGGCTCCTCATTTTCTCCAAGTTCTAAGATACTATACTAGAATGCTGGAGTTTTCTCTGGATAAACAATTTGTCAGGAAATACAAAGAATATTTTGTTTGGCTTTGGACTTTTAATGACATTAATAAGAAAATTAGAGAGAGTCTCAGGGAAGAAAAAGGAATAACAGCATTTGAATTAATTTGTTTTTATACAACTCATAATTAGCAGACTTCATGAGTAGTTGACAAGATAGTCATTCTACCAATATCCTTTCTAGTGTAAAGATATAAAAGGACCAGAAAGAATTTTTAGGTATTTTATCCTTTGGGAACATAAAAGACAGAGGAAGGTGTTAACAATATAATTAAAGTATAGACTCAACCAACACTTTATTTCTAAATTGTTTTTGAATATTTTGAGTTAAAGGATACCATTTAAGCCTTTCTTGCCACCTACTGCTCCCCTCACAAAGATATTCAAAAGAAATCTAAAACAGGTATATGACTGTTGATATGGGAATTATCAATATGAAAAATCATCCATAAAATATTATATATATGTCAAACACAAGGCAACTGTGACTAAAATGGGAAGTTATCTTTTTTAAAGTTTCTAATATTAAAATATTAAAACTCAAAAAGTCTAGTAGGAAGTTTGCTTCAACCACCACATTTTAAAAATAAAATGTTAATGTCATCCCCTCACTGTTTCATCCATTGTACAAGGACTGTGACTCTTCTCAATCAGCAACAATAAATGCCAATGTTTCATGGACTCAATAGGATTTATAACTACTAATTACCAAGTATTTCGTTTGAAAAATTAAAACTGGTGAAGGCAAAGAGAAAACGTAATAGTAGAATTGAAGAATATGGCACCCAGCTGATTCTCTGAGTATTTCATCTTTTTATAAGGTTAATCTCTAAAATAAAACCTACAAAAGATTCCTAGTCAAAAACACTGGGAAAGGCGTGATGTCAGGAGTAGGATTTTTAGGTTGTGGTTGCTCATTACTCAGTAGATTATACATGCCTAGTTCTATAGAAAGAGAAACATTCCCCCAAGGGAAAAGAATTGTTAGGATTCATGACTAACCCACCTACCTTTGTGGAAAGTGGGTAAGTGTATATGGTATAAAACCACATACACACATCCTTCTTACTAGTGAAAAGATCCAGAACATCAGGAAGAAGCCATCTGATGTTTCGATGTGTCCCCTTGTTGCTCTCATTATACTCACTCTCGAAGACTTTGATCTTCTATCATTATGGACCATAGCACTGGTACCATCTGTGTGCCATGAAATCCTGGTTTTATACTTCTAAAAGTATGTATTTTGTTTCTTCTATTCAATAACTGTGTTTTAAAATAAACAAATATCTGAAGACTCAAAACTATGATTCAGAAGAAAAGCTCTTTGATAATATAAAATGTTTTTCCCAAGAGGTAGAGCAACATTTTGAGGAATGCCAGATTTTCACCAAGAACAAATGGAAAGCCACTCTTTTAAACTTGGTGAAGGCTCTACAGTAAGCCCATTTTTCTAAATATATTTAAATATAATAACTTTTTATAATTTCCATTTTCTAAAAGCCAAATTTGATGGAAATAGCTATAAAGAGGTAGGTTTCTTTCCACAGCATTTGTTTGACTTATAAATATATTTAGTTCTATGCCTTTTTACTTGTTTCCCAGCCACCCCAGCTCCCTTTGCCTTCCATACAGAGTGTACTACAGAGGTCAAAAGTGTGGGAAAATACAGACTGAGAAATCACAAAAATGAAAGTTTACATCATTTGACAAAAATAGTAATACATTACCAAATGGAAAATTCCGTTAAACGAAATGTTATTCTGATCCGATGACTTACCTGAAAACAAGAGAGAATAAAGTGAAAACTGGTATCATAATCAAACCCTAGGTATACTAGATTCCGTAAGAGATGGCAGGTATACTGACTATCCAAAACAAACAGAAACTATACCAGGCTAGGAAACACCAATTCCTTTAGAAACGGTAATTAACCTTAGAAAGGAAATGGCAAACAGAGAACAAAAGCAAAGGGGAAAGGAAGTGGTATTTGCTTTCAAATCACTTGACTCTCACATACATTTTAAGAGGCCAATTTTCAAAATGTGGGCACATATGCATTAAAAGCCATAGCTAAACTGTGGCAGTATATGTATGCCACATTCCCTCCCAATACCTTTGGTTACTGTCTTAAAGAGAGACTGTGAAAGCTGCAAACTTTCAAATATCCTCACCTCATATGACTCAAGAAAAAGGTGCCACTGTATCAAGTGCTACTGCAATTTCCTCTGTTGATTTTCTTTCCACCTTAACACTTAGATGTTTTGGCTGTTTCCTTTTTTTATTTTTCAAAGTGAACACTGATGTTCATGAAAGGTGCCAGATTAACAACCTGAGGATATTAAGAGCTTGCTCTATCAAGAAAAAAGGCTCAGTGTAGTGGAGGTGATGAAAGTTTCCCCTATACTGTGTTCGCCTATGTACCTTAGCTCTGACCCACAGTCACCCCAGCTCTCCAGTTTTCATGGTCCATTAATGCCTTTGACTGCTTAGGTTGCTAACAGGGGCAGGAAATCTTGTTCTTGCTTTTAATGCTACCATTATTATTACCATTACTGTGAGCTCTAACTTGCTCAGAGAAATTACATGGAAATTTACATTAGCTATCATTTTGTTTCAGTACAATACAACAGGAAAATAAACAGAACTGAAGATGAATGTTATGTTCTTAAGTAATATTGCAGGTTTGGTTAAAATCCATTAATTTGTTTAAAACAGGAGGCAAAGACTTGAATGGGCAAGCTGAATTCTCATTCAGGGACATTCTAGTATTTAATGGTCATAGATCTTTTATTTTTCCTTTTGAGCTTACCATGAACCAGTCAATTTTATTATTAATTAGCAAGTATGACAAAGTTTGGTGGATATTGAGGCTAAAATTATCATTATATGAGATCTGAAAATCACTATCAGCCACATTGAGAAAAACAGCTCTATCTTATATTTGTAGGTATACAGGTTTCCAAATTGTCTGTTTTGCAATTATTATTCATTAAATAATCTCTCCTAGACCCAGAAATCTGTGAAATCATTTTGCTTCAACTAGTCAGATACTAACAACTACCTACTGTTGGCATTCCTGCACTGTGTACTTCTTCATGCAAAATATAAGGGTCGAAACAAGACAATAATCCTTTTCCTATTTAGAGCATATAACAAAAAAGAAAGCAAAGCTAGCAAACACATGTAAAATATTAATAGAACAATGAAACATAATACTGAATGCTCCTGACTAACAGACCAATAATTACTTAGTAATTATTTGGAAAGATCACAGAATTAATCCCACAGTTGTTCCTTGTCTTTGCCATTGTACTTCATCTTGTCAAAGACCAAATTCTCTGTAGCTAGATTTCCATTGTGACACGGCTTGTACTTCCTGTAATGTCTAATCTCTAGAAGTGCTCGAGAATGAGAATTGCAGGGTACCAATGACTACAGCAAACACATGGTAACAATTAGATGAAGGGTGCCCTGGCTGCATCTCATATGGAAATCTTGGAAAATTTTAGCTTAGAAACTTTGGCCGCTTTTTCCCTTTGCCATGCACAGCCTTTATCAAGTGAGTCCTTATGGTATTAAAACATATGGCACTGGCTCAAGTCTATGCTATTGCTGGCAGGGAACTAATTGGGAAGGAGGGGTGGAGTAGTCACCTTTATCAGGAAAACTTTAACTTTATGGAAAGGCTCCTTCCTCCCCACTGCTTTAAGCAGCTTTACTGAAAGACTAAAACCCAGATGTGAGAAAAGAGGTTATCTCCAAGGGCAGCGGCGATTTATTGTAATTATGATAATATAAGGATCAGTAGGGTGGAAAATATTATGACAACTTGGTAGATGAGAAGGGCAACACCCTATATATAGATCTCACGGTAAGGTTGTGCTGGGGAAACCAACTCTGATCCTAACCCCAAGGGAGGCCTGAGTTTCCCAAACTGCAAGAAAATTAGCATGTACCTACTTAGAAAACTAATAACCCCATGGTCTGTAATAACCAGTGGGAGGCCATGATAATCTGCTCACCAAGAGATACCAACAGACATCTGCCCCAACTCCCTCAGCAGCCAGCTCTTGCCAATTCCCTGTTGCCACCAGATCACTAATGTATCTTTCCCAATGATTCCTATCAGTCCCATATTATAATTAATTACAGTGGTACTGAAAGCAACAAGGCCTATTTTGCTTATACAACACTCTCCCATTAGTGAAGTGTTTGTTTAACTTAAAGCACTTTGGAGGTTGGCCTTAATTGCATCCAGAACAAAGTCTCTTTCCTTGCCAGTTCTAGGCCTCCCTCTGCCTCTGTTCTTCACTGTATAATGTATTGCTTATAGTTTACCCTGACTGGACTTTTGCATCCTTCATGATTTGGTTTCTTTTACTGCCCCATCTTTGTGTGGTGGGAGATGTACAAGTATGAATTTTTAGAATTTGATATTTCATACAAAAATGAATCAGTGAACATGAAAACATCCGTTTTATGAACGTGTCACTAAGGCTCTAGTACACATGGTTTTCTAGTTACATAAAAATTTTAGGGAAGAAGATATGTTGATTTCAATAAATAAAAGATAAAAACACTGAACCTGAAAGACTCAAATCCTCGACTCTCATGCTCATGAAGAGAAAACAGGAAAAATAATAAAGGCCTGTAGAACAGGTGATTTTTTCTTTTTCTTCCCATTTCAAACACCTGTCAATAGGCTAGTGAATGCCAAGGACACAATAATCAGCAAGTCAGAAAAAATTAGAAGCCAGGAGATGGGGTAAGCCTCATACAAAACAAATACCAGCTAAATAAAACACTAAGAAAGTCAGTAATACTGAAAGAGTTATGAAGATGAATATGGTCAGATTTTGGACAAAGAGTACATAAAATGAGACCATTCTAAAATACTTGAAAAGCCAAAAAAACTTTTTTTAAATCCCTGACAATGCATATTAATAATAGCTCACTTTTAGGAGCTTGCAGTGGTTTAGTAATCAAACAACTCAAGACAACGCATCATGGTTCTGCCTATCAAGAGTGCTTGCTTTGGCAGACATGCCGCAATTAATTTGGTTATCTGATTTAAAACAGTGCCAGAAACATTTGCTCTTAGTATGAGTTTCTTAACCTAAGTAGCAAATTCTAGAAGTCACTATGCTTAGGGCTGAGTACATCCCAAATTGGGATTTTCTTACGGGAAGAGAAGATGTAAGATAAACAAGCTGGATTCTTATCATTCCAAAGCTGAGTTTTAAATATAAAATAAAAAGAGGAAATCTAAAACTTCTGGGATTTAAATGATGGCTTCAATGACTATATAGAAGAATTTTTTTAAAGGAGCCATTACAGATGAAAATTGCAGATAATAATTTGATGAAAAGAGGTGAAAGGTGAAACTCCAATTTATCCAGCTGTGGGTAGTAGTGATGATGATTATGGGAAAGGAAGAAAGAAGTGTGTTGGTGAGTGTACTTGAAAGAAGTACATAACAGTTCCTATCATAAAGAAATTTAGAGATTACTTAGGAAAATGACTTACACAAAGTCAACAATTTAAACAACAAAAACAAAATTTAATTAAGAGCCAAAGATCAGATGAGGGCTGGGGAGAGATTAGTTTGAGTTAGCTTCTGAGGGGATCTCAGTTGGGACAGCTGAAGTGGACCAGTCTCTCTTACTGCCCCTACCCCACAGTTTATAATGGCAATAAACGGTTTTACCCAGAGGTCTATGGATAAGGGCTTTCTGGTCTAAGGCTTTAGGTCTTTTCAGAACTCAGAATATTTGCCTACCTCTTTTCTATAAAACTTCAGTTCTATTTTCTATCAAATTGCTCCTCTTTTCTGCTAATCTCCATTCTAGTTGGGATGTATAAGGGCTGAGTAGCAGTAGTGGATATGGGAATAAATGAGACACAGCTGGCCTGTGACAAAAGGACTGTGAGTAGGAAGCAGCTGCATTTTGGAAGCAAGCAGAAGAAAGGATCTGGATCTTCAAAGCCAAGGAAAGCTTTCCCCTGTGTTCTCCCCTCCTTTTACCCCTTCATGGGAAATAATAGAAATTTCACAAAACACACAGACTTTCTGCATTCATAAAAGTTTCTTTTCCTCATACCCGAGTGTTTATTTTATTTACTACTAACTGCTAACATTTTGCATGTATCTTGCATTTAAACTTTTCTCCTAAGAGTTTCATATGGATTTATAAATTTTCATTAAAGCAAATCAGCCTGGCCATATTATATATTAATAAAGTTTAACTTTAGAATAAGAATTCGGTTTGTAAAAGAGGTTACTTTTCTAGAATTTGGCTTATTACAGACCAAACACATTTCCTAGACTAGTGGTTCTTAAATTATAGGCTTCATAAGGCTTCTCAGGGGTGCTTTTAATATGCATATTCTTGAGCCACATCTGATCGTGGATTTCTATTTAGTTGGCCTAGAGAGGGGCTCAAGAATCTACGCTTTTAAAATCTATCTATCTATCTATCTATCTATCTATCTATCTATCTATCTATCTATCTATAGAGGGGGGAGGGAAGGGAGGAAGAGAGGGAAAGAAACTTCAGTGCAAGAGAGGAAGATCAACTGACTGCCCCTTGCATGCTTCCCCAATCAGGGACTGAACCCACGACTTAGGCATGTGCCTTGACTGGGAATCTAAGTGGCAACCCTTTGCTTCACAGCTCAACATCCAGCCAACTGAGCCACACTAGTCAGGGCATGGAATCTACATTTTAAATAAGCACCCAAAGGGATTCTTTTACACATACGTCAGGCATACAGGGG